AATTTTTTTTAAAAATTGTAATTGCAACACTCTTTACAATAGCCAAGAGTTGGAATCAGCCCAAATGTCCATCATCGGATGAGTGGATACGGAAAATGTGGTATATCTACACAATGGAATACTACTCAGCTATAAAAATGAATGAAATACTGCCATTTGCAACAACATGGATGGACCTTGAGAGAATAATATTAAGTGAAACGAGTCAGGCAGAGAAAAAGAAATACCACATGTTCTCACTTATTGGTGGGAGCTAAAAAATAAATAAATAAATTCACTCACACACACACACACACAAACAAAAACCGGGGGGAGGGGGGAAGAAGATATAACAACTACAATTTTTTGAAGTTGTTACAACAAGCAAACGGAAACGACATTGTTGGGTGGTAGGGGGGAGAGGGAGGAGGGAGGGAGGTTTCGGTGATGGGTCATAATAATCAACCACATTGTATATTGACAAAATAAAAATTTAAAGGATAAAAAAAAAAAAAAGCACATCACCGTCTCAAGTGTCTGCATTATCTTCCCAATATTTGTGGGTCACCACAGAGAGAAGAGAGAGCTAATATGCCCATTCTATAGCTAGGGAAACTGGGCCCACGAGAAGATTTACTTTTTTCTTTCTTTTTTTTTTTTTGGCACTGGCCGGTAAGGGGATCCAAACCCTTGTCCTTGGAGTTGCAAGGCAGCTCTCTAACCAACTTGCCCCTTTTAAAGGCAAGGCAGGAGCAGAGGCAAAGTGAGGAGTGTTGTCCCTTGAACTGGGGCTTGTGCAGGCCATCACTCTGCCTACTTTGGGATATGGATCCCAAGCCTACCTGACAGTCAAGGCTTGTCTGAAATTTCTCCTCTCCAGGAAGTCTTTTCTGGTCACCCAGCCCACCGAGCTCACTGTTTCTCTGGTATTGCTGCATTTTGGGATGGTCCCCTCAATCATGTATTACTTATGGCTACCTGTCCATCCAGCATCTCTCCACCCACTCATCCATTTATCCAACAGTCACCAAGCCCTGCTATGTGCCTGCTCCTGTGCCAGGCACTGGGCTGCTGGAGACGGTGCAGGCACTTCCATACCCTAGAGTTGGGACCTCTGTTATGGGAACTGTGTCCTCGCCCCCGAATTCATGTGTTGGAGTCCTGACCCCTGGCACCTCATTTGGAAATAGGGTCATTGAAGATATAATTATGATGCTAAGAGGTTAACATGAGGTGATTAGGCTGGGCCTTAATCCAGTGTGATAAAAGGTGAAAATGTAGACACAGACACGGAGAACACCATGTGAAAATGAAGGCAGAGATGGGGCGATGCTTCTACAAGTCAAGGAATGCCAACAATTGCCGACAAACCACCAGAAGTTAGAAGAGAAGCCAGGAACAGATTCTTCCTCACATCCCTCAGAAGGAATCAACCCTGCCAACATCTTGATCTCAGATCTCTTAGCCTCCAGAATTGAGACAATAAACTTCTGTGTGTAAGCCACCAAGTTTGTGGTTCTTTCTGTTTGTCTTATGGCAGCCCTAGCAAACTAATCCACTCTGGTAGGAGAGGGAAGCCTGTGTGAGCCCACCTGCCTCAGACTGGGGGGTTAGGAAGGGCTTCCTCCAGGAGGTGATGCTGAGCGGGGCACTGGAGGATGGGTCGGGGTCTACCATGCAATGAAGATGGGGGAGAGCACTCCAGGCAGAGGGAAGAGCAAAACCCAGGAGGATGCATAAGTGTATGTCAGAGACTCTTCCTTGAACTTCTTTGAATTTCTCTACTCCTGCCTGCCTTGTCCAAGCATCCGAGACCTGGAAACTCCTTTGCTCTAAGACAATGGAAAAATTATTTTTACCAGGAGGCTCCTTGGACCCTGGTGGTGATGTGTAACATTGTCACCAGCAGGGGGCGCTCACACAATCGTGCCGATGCAGGAAGGGCGCTACATGGGCACAGGTCTTGAGTAACCTGCCATTTGTCAGGGTCCAAGTCCTCTGCTCTGAGGGGAGGGGAGACTAGGGTGGGCAGCTCTGTGCTGGCCGGGGCCCTTCCCATGGCCCCACAGGACACACACAACCCTGGAAGGACAAACACTCGGACACGTGGCCCTTGGTACAAGTACTTTATTTCCATTACAATAGTGCCACAACAAAACTACAGTAGCATGAAACACAATAATACAAAAAACAGATTCCCAGCTCCAAACCCCACATCCACGTACCCACAGAGAAGCCAGCCCAACGGCTCCCCTGCCTCAGGGGAGGGTCTCTGGGTGCAGTTGCCCATCTCACCTCAGCCTTATCGAAGCTCTGCAGGGGGCGGTGGTGATGGGGAGGGGGTGCTGCCTTTGCTTCCATTCCTGCTGGCCTGAGCCCTCGTCTCCCCCTGGCCCCTGCCAAGCCCAGCACACCTGAGCAACTGCATGCAGTCTACATTCCCTCTGGATGCACCACCAGCCCTGAGACACTTGCTTCTGGCTGGGAGGTCCCAGCCCATAATGCTGACACTCTCCAGGACTGCCCCCCCCCCCCCCCCCGGGGAAGAAAAAAAAAAAAAAAAAAAAAAAAAAAAAAA